GCCTAGTACGAAAATAACCATGCAAAACAAGAGGAGCCCATGTTAAATAGGAAACCGACCACATTCAGCTCCTTTGGGAACTCAAGACGAAGTTCTTCTGGATTCTCGTCTTTCCTACCTATCCACCATGCATCGGAAAACACAATCTAGAAAAGCACGACGAAGCAGTAAGTCACCATATAATGGGAAAGCAAAAGAAGAAAACCACTAACTGCTCTTCAATGAATCATTTCATTTGCTGGATCATAGCATAAGGAACTAGGCATGAAACTCAAATAACAAAGAGACATTCATTAGCAACATAATTCGTTGCACTTCCTTAAACATGAGAATTGAGAAAAAAATATAAAAAAACCAGCTTGATAAATATAGAAACTGTGTGTTCATGAAATCATGATTGTATGAGTGTGGTAATATGCATGGCCAAAACTGTTCTGTAGAGTTCAAGATGGAAAAAGAGATAGAATACAGTTTTCCACAATTCTAATTATAATAAATATTCAATGTGGAATGGGAAATAAAAGACGTCAACAAAGAGTGAAAGGTCATACCATGTTGTCAAAATAATCGTCGCACACTACACTCTTCCCCCCTCTGGAAAACTGCAGAGTCAAATACCTGTTTTTAGGATAAACAATTGTCCCAAACAACTTCATTTGGCCCTGCATGTGATAAAGAACCACAACTATGAACTTGTCTTGCCCGCCAAACAAATGGAAGTTCTAATTCAAGAGTTTAAAAGACACATAAATTCTTGAATCACTTTGTCCTACGAAACGTTCGGGCCATAACCACAATACTAACCATTTAGTGAAACGAAAGACCTTGCCCGCCCAAAATAAATCAAATATTTCCCGGGGTATCTAAATGCTCTCCTTTCCTTTGCTTGCCACTATCTAAACACCAATCACCTATTCCTTTTCTTAAACACTAAACTTAAAAGAACTTACAAACAAATGTAAACAAACAGATCACAGACTAAAGAAATTCTATAAAACCTCAAAGTTGTACCCGAGTACTCTAACAAGTAAATCCAAATGTTAGTATATGAGACTGACCAGAGGGAAATCGAGGTAGAGAATAGGGTTTTTGGTGTCCAGGTCTTTGAGCATGCCAATTTTCCCGCCGGAAACGGGGGCAAGAAGCCCCGGGAAGGAGAAGAGAAAACGGTTCCTGCTTCGCTGAGACTTGCGAATTATGTCTTTCCCACTGTGCTTGACCACTGTCTTCGATGGGCGCAGAGCATTCCTCACCGCCGCCGCCTTCAGAGGTGTCTCCGAAAGCATCCCCTTTGAGAAAGCGAGCTTCTTCAGCCTCTTCTGCTCCTCCGCCACCGGATCCGCCGCCTGAGGAGCGTTCCTGACCTTCTTCCCGCCAGCCCTTACCATCTCTCTCCGCCTGCTCGTGGAAGGCGGGAACCAGCAATCTCCAGATTCAGAGGATTTTGGTCTGGAGTTGTAAATGCTCTTTTGACTTAGTTAACTACTTTAATTTGTTATTCATAATGACAAACTAAAGTAGGACCATGCTACATTTACACCAAAAAATATACCCCATTTGTACACCACAAGTTTGCACAAACATTTCGATGGTTTACACCGACACAAGTGTTGGTGCGTTAATAAAAATTCACACGGACACAAATGTTGGTGCGTTTAACAAAAATTAGTTTTACACAAACACAAAATGTTGGTGTAAAACTGCGGGGTACAAATTGGGGTACAAATCTTGGGGTACACATAGCATAATCCTAAGTATGATTGTTAGAACACTACAATTCTACAAAAGGAAATTTATTAAAATAATATTAAAACATAATGACTTTCTCAACATAGGATTACTAGTATCACACATGTGCGTTGCACGGGTCGCAATTACGTTGTAAATTTACATTGGTATCACTAGAAAAGGAAAAAAATACAACACATAATGAAATATAATATTTTTTTAGTGTTGCAAAGTATCTATAAATTACAAATTAAATTTTGAAAAACCTCTTTATAAACTACATTAGTGGTACATTTTGTTGAGACATCCTCTGCGTTGCAAATAAGAATCTTCAGGCATTACGATTTGTTACCCTTGAAACCGCAACATATAATTGTCCATGACTAAATACGGGTTTCCGTAACAATAATCCCACGTGTTTTAAAGATTGGCTTTGACTCTTATTAATCGTTATTGCATAAGAAATAACCACGGAAAATTATCTTCTTTGAAACTTGAATGGTATTCTTGCATCAGATGGTGTCAGTGATAGTCTTGGAATAACAACTTCTTGACCCATGTGTCTTCCAGATAAAATCTTTCCTTGGATCGAGTGATTAGCAAATCGAGCTACCATCAATCGAGTACCATTACACAAACCCATCGAATGATCAATGTTTCTTAGTAACATAATCGGGGTGCCTACCTTCAAAATGAGCTCATGATTTGGTACCCTGGAAGCACGAATCTTATTCAAGAACTCAAGAGTGCAAGTCGTTAAAGAAATTCGAATTAGAGTCCGAGTTCTCAACCTTTTCGAAACTAAGATAAGTGTGTGATTCCTCATTGGGATTCATCGATGTCATATATTCATTTATAGAATCGAGGACATCCAACGTTGGAGCCAAAATTGCACGGTCCTGCAAATAGGTTGGATCATTTGCTATTTTATGAAAATCTGGATAGATGGAATTCACTATAGTAGCTATAGGATTTCCCGAAGATGGAAGCAACATATCATCAGGTATTGTTACTTCTGCATAGCCATCATGTTCATCTCCCGCAACTCCATCGCCAATACTTGCAATCCATTCAGCGAATTCAACTAAATGGTCGTAACTACTATCTCCAATCATTGATTGCAGTCGTATGTTTTTTGTTAAACGCAACACAGTGCAATCTTTCTAGATGTACGAAGAATTAATCGTCGAATTAACAATGTCTTGTCTTATTCCTTTTGGAATTACTGGCAATATTTGCCAGAAATCTCCACCAAAGACTATTGTTTTTCCTCCAAACATTTGGTTTTTACTCAATGGATTGGAGAATCGGAGAATGTCGCTCAAGCTTCTATCGAAAGCTTCGAAGCAATACTTATGTGTCATTGGTGCTTCATCCCAAATAATTAATTTTGCCTTCACTAAGAGTTGTGCTAGTGGTGTTCCATGCTTTATGTTGCAAGTGGAGTTTTCATCCAGGCACAACGGGATTTTAAAACGTGAATGCGTTGTTCTACCACCTGGCAAAAGTAAGGATGCTATTCCACTTGATGCGACATTCAAAACAATTTCACCTCTAGATCGTAATGCTACTGATAAAGTTCTCCAGACATATGTCTTCCCTGTTCCACCGTATCCATAGAGGAAGAAAACTTTCACCGAATCTGTATTAATGGATTGTATTATAGCATCATACGCTGCACGTTGTTCGTCATTTAATGATGCTAAAAGGGAGATGTGCTCACTCGCCAAGGTTACACGATCATATTGCATCTCATCAAAAATCATTCGATTGGCTGGAGACCAAATTCCTTGCTGGTTTGCTTGTGGCATATCTGTGTAATCGCGAAGGCTCTTCCTACGACTTTGAAGCAATTCTTCTATATCACATAGAACATAATTTTGAATCTCTTCTTTTTTAAGTGTAAGACCTACAATGGTTAATAAAAATATATTAAAGGGAATTTATTTCCCTTTAAGGTAAATTTTTCGAAATACAACTCATTAAAATCATGAATATTCCTCTTTATTATTTCTCCACCTTCACAGCCTTCAGTTTCTTATTACTTGCACTTGAACTGAACTCATCTTTTAAATTTCTCTTGACGGGTTCATCTAAGTTTAACATCCCTGATCTTTGATGTACTTGACTGTCCCAAAACCTTCAAATGATCATAAGAACCAATCTGTAGTATAAATTATTTTGTTAATTATGTGTGTGTGTGTGTGTGTATATATATATGTTAAAGGAAATTATATTATTAATTATGGCAAAGCAAAATTTGTGGAGAAATGTCATTATGGTAACGCATGGCTTGGAAACCGTATGCATGAGTGGCGGCATGAATCCAGGACACTTATTTGGCTACACTTTTATTCATATTAGTTTTTCCTTTTTTATATACAATTTATGTATGATAGAAATGTAAAGTGAGTTGGTTTCCTTACATAGTTTAGGCGTATATATACGTTGTAATGGGTTATTGACAAAAACAGAACAGAATATATTTTTCCATATTGGATTGTTTCATGGTATCAGAGCCTCCGGGCCTTGTTTTTCTGTAATTTTTCCAAACGGCGTAGAAGACTATGACGAATTCGGGGGAGAAGAAATCCGACGGCGACACCGGCGGAGCTCCTCAACGTCGTACGATCTCGCCATATGACTTCATGCTAATGATAATCCGGGGTTGATTATCACGCAGGTCATTCTCAAAGGTGAAAACTATGAAGAGTGGGCACGTGCGATTCGTACGGCTCTTCGTGCTCGGAAGAAATTTGGTTTCGTAGATGGGTCGATTCCGAAGCCTGACGATGCCTCTCCCGATCTAGAGGATTGGTGGACAAACAACTCACTTCTTGTTTCTTGGATTCGTAACACGATTGAGCCGTCCCTCCGCACGACGATCTCGCATATGGAGATGGTAAAAGACTTGTGGGATGACATTAAGGCTCAATTTTCCGTTGTTAATGGCCCGAGAATTCAGCAACTCAAGCGCGAATTGACAACGTGCGATCAACGCGGCCTGACAATTGTTTCCTACTATGGCCGTCTGAAGAAACTATGGGATGACTTGAACGATGTCGATCTGTTTCCTACTTGTACATGCGGCAAATGTACATGCAATATCGCCCAACAATTGGAAAAAAAGAAGGATGAAGAGAAAGTACATCAATTCTTGATGGGGCTCGACGAAAGTTTGTATGGTCATCTTCGTTCCACCGTACTTTCACAGGAACCATTTCCCACTACATCCGTTTCCTACTTGTACCTGCGGCAAATGTACATGCAATATCGCCCAACAATTGGAAAAAAAGAAGGATGAAGAGAAAGTACATCAATTCTTGATGGGGCTCGACGAAAGTTTGTATGGTCATCTTCGTTCCACCGTACTTTCACAGGAACCATTTCCCACTACCGGCCGCATATATCGCATCATGACACAAGAGGAAACGGCGCGGGCAGCTCAGACTCGTGAACGACCTGAAAACACAGCCTTTGTCGCACGTCACACCACCATGGATAAGCCACGAGACAAAGCCGTGACTTGTTCCCATTGCCGAAAGCCGGGTCATGAGAAGGACACCTGTTACCAGCTTCATGGCTACCCCGAGGGTTGGGGTCGTCATAGCATCGGCGAAAGAGGTCGTGGGCGTGGGCGGGGCATCTCTGTTTCTGCCGGCAGAGGCGCTGGAGGACAACAGCAGCACAATGCCCATGTTGCGGCAGTAGGGTCGGCTGGAAGCAGTGTCGGCAGTGATCCATCTAGTAGTGGGTCGGTGGTTCCCTCTCTCACTGCCGAGCAATGGGATACTTTTAAGGCACTTCTAGCTTCTGTCAAGGATGCTCCCACTGAAAAATTGTCAGGTATTCCTATTACTAAACGATGGATTATAGATACCGGTGCCACAAATCATATGACGGGGGATTTGAAATGTTTGATTGATGTCCACTCTATACCGAATTGTTGGATACGTTTGCCGGATGGGAAGACGGTAACGGCTACGACTGCGGGTCGTGTTAGACTTAATGATTCTGTTGTTCTGCAAAATGTTTTATTTGTTCCTGATTTGAGCTGTGATTTACTCTTCGTGTCTCATTTGATAAGAGAGACTAACTGCCTGGTAAAATTCGACGAGCCACTATGTTTGTTCCAGGACCGTATCACGATGCAGGTGATTGGTGCGGGTAGGCAATCTGCTGGCTTGTATTACTTTCAACACGCATCCGTGGGTTGTGCGTTATCGAGCGTGAAGGAATGTCAATTCGACCTATGGCATCGACGTCTTGGGCATCCGTCACCAAAAGTTTTATCTTTCTTACTAATTGCTAGTGATAGCAAATCTAGTGTTTTGAATAATGGGCCTTGTTCCATTTGCCTGCGTGCAAAACAGTGTTGTGCATCTTTTCCTTCGAGTACCAATAAAGCCACAGAATTATTTCAAGTTATTCACATCGATGTATGGGGTCCATACAGGACACCTAATTTGGATGGTTTTACTTCATTTTTGACTATAGTGGATGATTTTTCTCGTGGTACTTGGGTCTATTTATTGCGTGCAAAATCTAAAGTGCCAACAATTTTCCGTCAATTTTATGCTTTGGTCGAACGATAGTTTAATAAAAAGCTAAAAATTGTTTGGAGTGACAATGGAACTGAGTTTGAATGCCTCAATTTATTTTTCCGTGAGCATGGTATCTTACATGAGACATCGTGTCGTGGGACACCACAACAGAATGGTAGGGTGGAGCGCAAGCATCGACATATTTTAAATGTTGCTCGCGCCCTACGCTTTCAAGCGTTTCTCCCGATCAAGTTTTGGGCGGAGTGCATTCTTGCCGCTGCGTATCTCATTAATCGGACTCCTTCCACTGTGTTGAAGGGCAAGACTCCTTACGAGCTAATGTTTGGGTCTTCACCGATGTTCAATTCCATTCGAACCTTTGGTTGCTTGTGCTATGTTCATAATCAGGATCGTCACGGAGATAAATTTGAGTCTCGGAGTATGCCGGACATTTTTTTAGGCTATCCCCACGGGAAGAAAGGGTGGCGTGTCTACTGCCCGAGCACTGGAAAATTTCTAATATCTCGTGATGTAATATTTCACGAAAATGTTTTTCCATTTCAGGAAGGAAATTCTACGCCAACTGTTTTTCCTTCTCAAGATGTTCTAGCGGCGGTCTCCCATTTCAATTTTTTAGACGATGAGGATGATGTTCCAGCGGCTGTTTTGTCCTCTCCATCCACGCAGATTTCAGCTTCTCCACACACGGATGAATCACAGTCTACTGGGCAGTCTACTGGACCTGCTTCTGCGCACACAGATGACCCCCAAACTACTGCCGATGTCCAGCCGGTACTGCCCGATGCTCTGCCAGTGCCTTCCAGTGTTGAATCAGTACCTGTTCTGGGTCGCGGTCAGCGACAATGCACACCGAATGTGCGTCTAGCTGATTACCAGACCTATGCCGTTAAACATGGTGCTTCCACTACGGTTCAAAATTGTAAGTATCCTTTGACACATTATATTGGATATGCTAAGTTTTCGGCAGGTCATAGGGCTTACTTGGCCGCTGTGGACTCTGGTCGTGAACCCCAATTTTATAAGGAAGCCATCAAGTTATCACAATGGCGGGACGCCATGTCGGCCGAGATCGCAGCACTGGAGAAAAACGATACTTGGCAACTTGTTCCTTTGCCACGTCACAAAAAGGCATTGGGTTGCAAATGGGTGTATCGCATTAAGCGCAAGTCCGACGGTTCGATCGAGAGATACAAAGCTCGATTGGTTATTTTGGGGAATCATCAAGTAGAAGGTATTGATTACAAGGAAACTTTTGCCCCCGTTGTTAAACTTACTACAGTTCGGGTTCTTCTTGCGGTTGCGGCTACACGCAATTGGGAGGTCCATCAGATGGACGTTCACAATGTGTTCCTTCATGGTGATTTGACTGACGAAATTTACATGAGACCACCTCCGGGTTATCGCCCCTCGACACCAGATTTAGTATGCAAATTACGCAAATCTCTCTATGGTCTGAAGCAAGCCCCGCGGTGTTGGTTTGCAAAATTGTCCGGTGCGTTGCGTAGATATGGCTTTGTTCAGTCTCATTCAGATTATTCATTATTCTCTTTTCACAAAGGCGACTATGTGGTGCACATTCTTGTGTATGTTGATGATTTGGTGATCGCCGGGAATAACTCTCTTGAAATTGATCGTTTCAAGAAATATCTTTCTGATTGCTTTCATATGAAAGATTTGGGTGTGCTCAATTATTTCTTGGGCGTTGAAGTCGCTCGGAATTCTACAGGTTTATTTTTGTGTCAACGCAAATATGCTCTTGATATTATCTCTGAGACAGGGTTACTTGGATGTCGTTCACTTGGAGCTCCGTTAGACCCTAATCATCACTTGGCTTTGGCTACTAGACCACTTCTTGACGACCCAGGAGCATATCGTCGTCTGGTGGGATGCCTAGTTTACTTGTCTGTTACTCGTCCCGATCTCTCCTATGCTGTACACACTTTGGCTCAGTTTCTTCAGGAGCCAAAAATTGATCACTGGAATGCAGCTTTAGGAGTGGTTCGTTATCTTAAGGGTACACCAGGACATGGCATACTTTTACGTTCTCATAGTTCCCTTTTCTTGACTGGATGGTGTGACTCCGATTGAGCCGCTTGCCCATTGACTCGTCGCTCTCTGACAGGATGGTTTGTACAGCTTGGCGTGTCCCCCATATCTTGGAAAACGAAGAAACAACCTACCGTGGCTCGCTCATCTGCCGAAGCTGAGTATCACTCCCTTGCTATCTTAACTTGCGAGCTCAAGTGGCTTCGTGGGTTATTACGTTTTCTTGATGTTCCTCATCCAGCTCCCATGCATATTTTTTGTGATAGTACAGCAGCACTTCATATTGCTGCTAATCTAGTGTTCCATGAGCATATCAAACATATCGAGATTGATTGTCATTTTGTTCGTGATGAACTCTTACGTGGCTCTATTCGTACATCTCATGTTTCAACTCATGATCAGTGTGCGGATATTCTAACAAAAGCTCTTGGAAAAGGACGGTTCGAAGCTCTACTTCCCAAGTTGGGCGTTTCTCTGTTACACGCTCCAACTTGAGGGGGGGTGTTAAAGGAAATTATATTATTAATTATGGCAAAGCAAAATTTGTGGAGAAATGTCATTATGGTAACACATGGCTTGGAAACCGTATGCATGACTGGCGGCATGAATCCAGGACACTTATTTGGCTACACTTTTATTCATATTAGTTTTTCCTTTTTATATACAATTTATGTATGATAGAAATGTAAAGTGATTTGGTTTCCTTACATAGTTTAGGCGTATATATACGTTGTAATGGGTTATTGACAAAAACAGAACAGAATATATTTTTCCATATTGGATTGTTTCAATATATATATATATATATATGTATGTATGTATATATATGTATGTATGTATGTATTTATAAATATTAATTTAAACTATAAAGTCATAAATACCATTTTGAGACCCTGTGCATCTTTATTATGTTCCCTACACATTTGATCAAAATCATCGTCTGCTTCTATAGTTTCGTACTTGGTGATAATTGACTTGTCCCAAATAAGATCATATACTCCATAAGAATTATTCCCGACATAAGACGATTGATGCTCAATATTTCCCTTTACAAATACGCTGAATAAAGCTCTCAAATTCACTATTTCTGCAATCTCCTTGGGAATTTTGTTTGGATCATCATGCTGTTATGAGATTCATGTTTATAAATTAGTATATACAAATTATGTATACATATTATACAAATACCTATTAAAAGTATTTTGTTTAAATTTCCATACCTCACATACCAAGGTTCTCATAGAGCTAGCCTGCATGCCTAGAAGCTTGACACATTCTTTATCCCAAAGTATAAAAGAAGCGCTATCCGAGTTGTCTATAACGCAGACACTGACCTTGTACCTATTTGAATGAATATACATTTTATTTGTAATTTAATCATGTAAATTAGTTTTTTTAAAATTAAAATATAGAACTTTTTATAACCTGTAGACTCCATCGGGATAATCTGTATTGCATTTCTTGCATTTAAATCGGGAACCATCTAGAATAATCTTACTATTGCATGTCTTACAACCAAGGTAGCACTACTCAACTATGTTTTCAATCTCTACCACATCACCAATTATCCAATAATATCCCTTTTGCAATTAATAATATACATTAATAAGGCATGTTTTATTCAGTCTTAGACTATCTGAAAGTTGCTCGCTACATTTATATGTACTGGCAATTTTTAAAAAAAGTAGTTTTAAACTCAAGTTTAATACTCACATCACATATAAGTACATTTACAAAGTAATATGAATGAAGTATAGGTAGTAAAATGTTTTCGAAGGTCAAATAAATGATTATTGAAGGAGCGATAAATAAGACAAAAATTATCGAAGTACAAATAAATGATTATTAAAGGAGCTATAAATGAAGGAGCGAAGTACAATGTATATTTACACGGGTCATATGTTATAAATAAGGCAAAAATATTTACACGCATTAAATATAAATCGTTCCTTTTTTGTTCGCAGACACCTTTCTATTGACTTGTTATAGAATTTTTTCGAAGTACAAATATTTACTACTTAAGTAAGTAAGTCGCCAATTACTGCCAAATCAATATAAAGATTTGTATCAAATAATTATCTTACAGTTTTCATAGCTTTGAGATCTCGGATGGAGATTACTGTCATCTCTGTATTTAGTGGATTAGTTTTAGGTCCAGATTGGGTGGATACAATGCTGCAACTCTGAAATAAATTATCTCCACCACACGACAATAACATGTATGATACAATAAAAGCAAATTTGTTTAGCCGTTAGATTAAAACCATAAGTAAAATAAAGAAATAGTAACTTACTCTTTTCGGAAGTCTTTAACTTCGGCTGTTCCTCATTAAGCACCACCTTACTCACATTATAAAAGGTAGCTAGAAACATAGACTTTTCCTGAATTTTAATTATTGCAATCGTTAGGCATGAAAGAATTTTTGAAAAAGAAACAATGTTAAAAGAACATATAATAGTGATACCATTATATCGCCTAGGTTTCACCATCTGCAAACAATGAATTGGTGGACTTGTCAATCCTTCATTGAGTCCCTCGATCACTTTATCTTCATTAAAGTGATTAATAATAGAAAGCTCTAAAAAAATTAACATCAAATATGATACATTTATGTTATGTATACCTATGGTCTTCCAATACAACCTCCATCATCCTCTCGGGGGCACATTTAACCATGCGTTCTTCGGGCATGGTACGACAAACAACTTTTCCAATGACATCTGTGATTAAAATAATAGTAGATAATATTTATTTAAAGTAATTTTACTCGACATATAAAATTTTTTTATATAACTCACCAATCAACAAAATGTCGTCCAAGCAAGGTAGTAACTTGATATCATCGAATGCCATGAATTTGTATCGAAAATTTGGAAAAAAGTCTGATGACAATTTTTGAATTTTGGTTTTTCCAAAAAATACTATCATAAAAGGATGGGAGGTTGTCTTAGTGTTCTGGAAGTTGTGCTGAACTTTGAACCGGGTTAAACCATAAACTTGATTTTCTTCAATTTCCTTTTCGAAAATTTTGATATTTTGATATTTTATCTGTGCATGGATCCGATTTCCCTGTAAATCAAGAAATAGTTATTTTTGTTATAAAAACGGTTTGTTTAATAAATAACAACGATTAAAAAAATTCTAAAAAACCTGTTGATCATGAAAGATGACATCAAGAGATTCTGGTGTGCGATCATGCGCAACAGTTCGATAAACTCTTACCACTCGCACCTTTACCATGAACGGGCCTAAACCATCATCAATTTTGTCCAAAGTTGACCACACACGCATTATAATATACGGTTTGTTTTAGAAGTCGAGAAGAATATATCGTTGTATTGTGGATTGTGGATCTCGTAAATGGGATCACAATTTATACGAAAATATTATTTTTGTAAATGGAAACGAATGGGTAATTGGGTAAATCAAATTATTGGTAAATCAAATTATAAATGCGTAGAACCTCTTTTTTAATATATTGAGTTATTGCCAAATAAGTCAAATTGGTAGCTTTCCTTTTTTCCTCCAAATCAAGTAATAAATATACGAATTTTAATAAATGCGTAGAAAGGTATATATTGCGGAATCTTTAATTACCTTTGTTTAAAAACGTCTCATAAAAAAGGAAGCTTATTAATCATTACTTATATTTTCTAAACTTGAAACTCACGGGTTTCTTTACCATATTTCTTACAAATCTAATTACATAAATTAAGGAAATAAGTCAAATTGGTAGCTTTCCTTTTTTCCTCCAAATCAAGTAATAAATATGTGAATTTTAATAAATGCGTAGAAAGGTATATATTGCGGAATCTTTAATTACCTTTGTTTAAAAACATCTCATAGAAAAGGAAGCTTATTAATCATTAATTATAGTTTATAAACTTGAAACTCATGGGTTTCTTTACCAAATTTCTCACAAATCTAATTACATAAATTAAGGTAATCACCACATTAATTGAGAATCGTGTTTTATTTCGTTCCTCCGTGTATCTTTATTTTACCTTTAATTAGGAAAACGTGTGATAAAAAGAAATTTTATTAATCATTAATTATAGCTTCTAAACCATAATATAACACACGGGGATCCTCTACCAATTTTTTCACAATTTTTATTACCTTGATTAAGGTAATCACCTCATTAATTGAGAATGGCGTTCTATTCCGTTCCTCCATGCATTAATTTAAAACGATATAGGTTAACAACGCATGTTCAAAAAGGAAGTTTATTAATCATACCTTTCAAACCATTATTCTTCTAGATTTTTAGATTTTTAGTCAAATGGGGCTAAAAATTACGCATGTTTCTAAAACCATTACGAAGTATTTTTTAGTCAATAAGTTTTTTTAGAATTAATAATGGCTCGTTTTAAAAGCATGCACTAATATAATTCCTTTTTTTTAATATTTAAAAATTATGCTAGTTATTAAACCATTATTTTTTAGCTTGTTAATTTTATTTTTTTCTTGAATTAATGATGTGTCGTTTTAAAGCATGCATTAGTATATTTCCTTGATTAAGGTAATAATTGCCTGAATTACATCATATTTCCTTAAAATACACACGACATTAATAAAAACGCATGGTATTGATTTTGGTAATTAAATAAAAACGCATTTAATATACACGATATTTCCCTTTTTATCTCGAGTAATACAAATGGATTAATAATAACCGTAGATTAAATGTAATGGATTAAAATCGATGGTCCATAGACCATAGCATTTGGGCGGAAAAAAGCATGGGGCATAATTCCCATGCTTTTAAGAATAAGATGATATATTTTTATTTCTCAATATAGGTTTATTAGTCATTATTCAAATAGATATCCACCCATATTTTAAAAAAAATTAGGTTTTACATTGAGAAATGATTTATGTTATATTCCTATTTACTGTAAATTTCACTTCTACAAATGGTCTTCAAGCTCATTCAAAACGGGTCTAACATCGTTATGGCTTTAAACAGTACCCCCATAAGGCGTTAATGTGGCGTTGGAAGAGAAAGCATCCCCCCCTCTAATGGTCCACATATTCAAAAAAGTAGTCGCTGGCTACATTAAAATATTATTTCACTTTTCCACTTTCAACTATAAATATCATATCATTTTATGTAAAACATACATCCAAAATATATTCTCATTTCTCTACAACCCACCCAAAATATATCCTATATTTTATATATAAAACAATGGCGTCACCATCTTCATCTGACGAGGAGTGAAAAGCATTCATGTTTTGTGTTTTCTCCACGGAATGTTATAAGTGGTCGCAACAACAAGAAGAAGCAGAATCGTCAAGTCGCTAAATCAGGAGTGAGCGTTAAAATTGCGATTAGGTGGCTGCGCACGAAGCACTACTTAACTACTTTAACACCCCATGTGTTTACACGGTGGAGGAGTTTATTAGTAACTATTTTCGAATGATCCGTTCTTTGTTTTTAATGATATTACGCGATCTTGAACGAAACGTGCCTTGGTTTACTCAACGTATTGATGCAAGAAGTCAGTGATTTTAGTGACGTCCAAAAGTGCACTGCCGCGCTTCGTCATAGGGCGTATCGAATCGCTAGTGATATGTTCGATTAATACTTGAAAATGTTGGCTCAAAACATCAGGACTTGTGTCTATAAATTCTCAAGAGCTATTATTCGATTGTATCGTAAAAGATATTTACGTAAGCAAAAGGTGAGCGACATTGAGCAGTTACATGCGAGGCATGCCGCTAAACACGTCTTTGTTGGCATGCTTGGGAGCATCGATTACACGCATTGGGAATGGATAATTTGTCTCATTATGTGGCATGGTCAGTATTCACGGGGTAATCATCCCAAACCTACCATTATGCTCAAAATAAGGCTTCAAATGACCTATGGCTTTAGCATGCTCTTTTTGGTTTGCCGGCTCGAATAAAGACATAAATGTTCTTGATCAATCACCCATATTTGACAATTGGTTTAATGAGAATGCACTCGACTCATCTTTTGAGCTTAGAAGATACTTTACAAGCATGAATATTATCTTGTCGATGAAATATATCCAGATTATTCCACAATTGTCAAGCCGCTCTAGGAACCGATTGGTCTTAAACGACAAACATACAAAAAGGTCATGATGCGGCAAGAAAGGATATTGAATGAGCCTTCAGTGTGTTGAAAGGTAATGGGCTTATTATATGTTAACCGTTTAAGTGTTATCCTCAAATGAAAATGAGAATATTATGTATAAATTATTATTTTTCATAATATGATTACAAAGAATAATGGGATTGCAATTTGTCATTTCTTCATAATATGATTACAGAGAATAATGGATTTTGTAACGCCCCAAAATATACCCTAGAATTATTAATAAATAAATAATAAATTAATCAAATTCGTTTTGATTAAAATAAATTGTTGTTGGGCTTTGGACCGAAATAAAATATATATTGATATCCAATAAACATAATTGGGATAAATCTCATAGAGATAAATCCAACATGTTGACTTATTGTGTGATCTTGATTGTAACCTGAGTACAGACCCAAATTAAGAATGAATGAAGAAATTGTTTATAATGTGAACTTTGAAATGATTTATTGAAATAAATCATGGAAATAAATAATATGAATTAAATGTGAGAACCTTTTTGAATAAAAGTCAGTTAAACCCATTTTGACTCTGTCAAAGTCAAACACCCAAAAAAATATGATGTTGGAAAAAGTATAACGAATAAATATAAAAATTATATCGTTGGATAGAGTTTAATTGTACGATCGCAACGGTGCAAACGAATTTCAATTCGGAGAAAGTTGGACCAAAAAGTGTTCCCCGACTGGGACCAATTTAGTCCCAATCAGGGACTTGCGTTTACAGCCCGTAGAAATCAGCCGTCCGCTCCACTGAGACGCCAAAACAGGAGAAGGGAGGTCATCACCGTTTCTTCTTCCTCTTCACTTGGCTATATAAGGACCATCTCCATTCCTTCAATTCCTCGCCATTTCTTACAAACTTTCTATCTATTCTGTTGCTGGGAGTGAGGAGAACGCAGTGGTGCTGTCGTATTGGTGTGAGGTCGCCGGAGTAGAGAGCTATCATCGCCGGATGTTTCTCCGGAAAATCTTCAAAACCTCCATTACACTTCGAGGTAAGCCCGTAGATATATCTAATGACTAGAATGTTCGTATAGATCGTTTCTACGTTCATAAATGGTCGTTTGGTTGAGTTTTGTGTTTGACATGCTTGAAGATTCAAGAATCATAAACCATGGAATTGATGTTAAAACTATGAATTAATGATGCCAAAATGATCTATGA